TGGTCTGCGATGCTCGTTACAGCGCCCCCAGCAGATGGGCACCGATGTCGTAACAGTAATCCCAGCAGGTGTTTCCTGAGTCCTCCGTCTGGGCCCAGAGTTGTGTCCCAGGGCCTCCCACTCTACCCTGGTGGCCCTGGGCAGCAGGTGCTGTGGGTCCCCAGGTATAGGTGAGGTCCCAGAGGCTCAGAGAGGCTAACACCTCGCCCAAGGGCACACAGCTGGTCTGATGACTTCATGCTGCCTCTCTGGGCCTCTGGGTTTGCATTTGCAAAGGGCCATCCTGCAATTCACTCTCCAGACCAGAATGTTTGTTATCATTCTCCATCAGAATCAGGGTTGGGAATGGCCCTGTGTCCAACCAGAACAAGAGTTTCTGGGCTGAAAAGCGGCATTGAGAGCATGAATCTGATACCCAAAGAGTTAGAGGGAAACAAAGTCCTGGCCGGGGGCCAGGGCGGGGGATGGGGGAGTTCACTTGTCCCGAGGCTGTCCTTCAGCGGTGGAGCTGGACCAGGACGCCCAGTCCAGGACTCGCCCCCTCCCCCTAGACCTCACCCTGTGCCCCAGGCTCCTCCCCAGACAGTAAAGTTTGCTACTTAGACAAGCAAAGTAGCAAATAATTGTCACAGCCTCCCATTTCTAACCCCACGGCCCAGGGGTAGTTGCCACAAACAATTAGCTAAAATGTTCCCAAACATTTTGTATTTCTATGAGTGCACACACACACACACTCGCCACACACGTACCTATGCACACATGCACACACAGAGTAACGGACATGGGATCACATGACGTATCATCCTCAGCGTGCTGCTTCCGGGGCCACGTTAGGAACACTTGCCATAGCAACTGGACAGATCTGCACCGTCACTTGTGACGTGTGCCCAGGCGTCACTCATTCATCCCAGTCCCGGCTGCAGGACGCAGACGCCATGCCATTCACACCACTGTGAGCACAGCTGGGGGCACACCTCTCTGTGCACCTGCTGCCACATAACGGGGCAGCCGCTGGGTCACACAACATGTGCTCGTAAAGGGCTCCAGGTCAGCCTCAGAGTCTGCACCAGCCTGCCAGCAGCAGGGACGGGAGAGCTGGCCCCACCCCGCGAGGAGGCCCAGCCCCGAGGACACGCTCAGCAACCACCCCAGGCCCCTCGTCCCCTCCCCACACTCCACAGAAAGAACCCAACTTACATAGATCACGCGGCTCGGGGACCCTGAGGCGCTGGACGCAGGTACAGAAATGATGCTCTCTGAAGAAGTTCTGGTTTCCTGGAAAAGGAGGAGACAGGCGGAGACTGAAGCAGACTCTGTCGACATGAAGACCCTTCCAGAGGCAATTATTACGAGTCACACGCCGACAGAGAGGCTGGCTCCCGAGAGACTTCTTTTTATTTGCAGGTTGAAAGAATTCTTAAAATAAACACGTAGGCTTAAATAAACAAGGGGAAAGCTATAATTGGAAGACACAGCAGGTGACACTGGCTGCAAACAAAGCAGGACCACTCTCGGTGCCGCCAGAGACACTTCCACGATGACCAGGCTCTCAGGTGCCAAAATCATCTGTTTTTCGGAGGGTGGGAGCAAGTGATGCTTTTTCAGGGATTCTGTGTGCTCCGCCAGCAAAGGCCACCTCTCTCACCCAGAATTTCGCTACCCAGAAATTTGTTGTCCAGAAACATTTACCTCGTAACGACATCCACCTCTATTACAGTGGCCGTGTTGCAGCTCATTCTGCCAGCCGGGGCTTTGTTGTCTGACTTGGCGGCTGTCACATCTGTGACCGGCTTCTCCAATGCCCACTGCTGCTGGGACACATTCCCACCTCTCCTCCCTCCCCACTGCAACTCCTGCAGCCCTGAGGGCACCGTTTCCCAGATCGTCCACCTCCTTTGCTCCTCGAGTCAAGCCCCCATCTCTGTGTGGACTCAGTCTTCCTCCAGCTCCCACCCTACAAGCTTTGCCTGTGCCCATCCCCACCTGGAGGCGTGGCCTGGCAGCTCCTGGACCCACTCCTGGTCTAGCCCTCACTGCTGGGACCACTTACTTGCCTAACTTTCCACGCCTCCCACTGCCCCTGTCTAAATGGAACCCATCTCCATGAAGGGCATCCCTCTGCCCAGCTGCCCATAGCTTCTCTCTTGTCTAATCAGACCCCTTCCCCCACCCCCTGGAACTCTGCCCAGCCCGTTTCATGGTCCACACCCGCTGCAGTGGTGCTAGCAGCCAGGGAGGGGCTACATGATGAACGGAACTGTGTCCCTCCAAAACGCGTATGTTTAAGTCTTAACGCCCCAGGATCCTGGAATGTGACTGTATTTGGAAATAGGACATTTAAAGATGTAATTAAATTAAAATGGGGTCTTTAGGGCAGGCCTGCCTCCAATCTGACTGGCATCCTTATAAGAAGAGGACACTGATACGCACAGAAGGATGGGGACACAGGGAGAAGACAGCCGTCTACACGCCAAGGAGAGGGGCCTCAGGAGAAACCAGCCTTGATGGCACCTTGAACTGGGACTTCCAGCCTCCAGGACTGTGAGAGACTCATTTCTGCTGTGCAAGCTCCCCGTCTGTGGCATTTTATATGGCAGCACCAGGATGCTGGCATCTGCCATGGAGCCCCCCTCCCCTCCCCTCCAGGCGACGACCCCTCCAGCGGCTCCTACACTCAGCACAACACCGGCGAGGATGGGCCGACACCAGGACTGGACAGGAGGCCGACACGGCAGTGGGAGGGACAGACCTGGAAGGCACAGGGGGTGGCGCCCAGGTAAACCTGACTGCACACCTGGCTCTGCATCCAGACAGGAAAGAGAAGGGGAGAGGGCGTGATGCTCCTGGGTCAGCTCTGCGCTCAGCCACTCGTCACCGGTCCGTCCCCTCTCCTTGTCCCCCGTCGTCGCCCCAGCATCCTCCTCGAGGCCTGCCCTGCTGCCCCTGGGCCACTCGGCCCAGATACACGTGTGGGGTGGGGCATCGCCTCGGGGGTCTGCCTGTCCCCGCAGACCACAGGCTTGTAAAGGCCGGCAGGGGCTGGGGTCCCCCGAGGAGCTGAGCCTGACCCCGTGTGCAGTCCTGAGGCTCAGCCACCCCCAGTAAGACGTGACGCCATGCGACGTTGCAAAGGTGACAGTGTCATCTGAGGAAGGTAACACAGGGCCTGTCTTTCTCGCTGTCCCTGTGGCCAGGTCGCCTGTTTTCCTAGGCAAAAATGACGTACGTACACATTTAAGCCTCTGAGTCTCAGCTTCCTTCTCTGTGACGTGCAAACACCTGCCTGAAAGGCACCGTCTATTTCTGAAGACTCAGAGACCTGGCCTGGCCCTTGCTTGGCACCGAGAAACCATCCTTACTTTTACTTCCGTTCAAGTCATTCTTCCTGCTCACAGTGGGAAGCCCCTTGTTTGCAGAGCAGACTGGCATTGGGTGTTTTGAAAGAAAAGTGCCCGGACGCTGAAAGCTGCAGCCCAAGACTCCCCCAGGCCCTGAGGGACGCTTCCCGGCACAGGTGGGGCGGCCCTGGGGTTATTACCAGCGTGACCTTGAGAGGTGGGGGTGGGGTCTGGGTCTGCCATGGAACGTTTCGGGGTGCCGGGCAGGCAGCAGGGCGGCTGCACGCTGTCCCCCTCCCTGTGCCCAGCTCTCAGCCCGGGAGAGGAGCAGCGCGCCCGCCGCGTCCTTGCAGGGCGGGGAGCCCAGACGTGAGGGGGCCGAGCCGGGAGGCCTGGGCTCTCCCTCACTTCCTCCCTACTCGGGTTCCAGTTCGCTCAAAGGAGACTCACAATCAAGCTTAATACCCAGCTGTGTTCCCTGGGGCCTTGTTCACACCAGCAAAGGGCCGGGCCGCTCACCCAGCCCCGTCCCTGCCGCTCAGCCAGCCCTGGGTAGCTCTGTCCTATGACAGCACCTGCCTCATTAAGGTCACACACGAGCCCAGTGGACACCATGTGAGAAGTCAACACCCACTCATCTCCATATTAAAGCTGAGGATCTGAGGCTCAGAGAGGGCTAGTGATTTGCCCAAGGTCACACAGCTGGGCAGAGGCAGGGCCAACTCCAACACCAGCGCTTGCTCTCCCATCTGGCTCTGAAACCCTCATTCGATTCCCAGCAGATTGCTGGCTCCTCAGACTTGGGACACAGAGCCAGAACAGGGCTGGGCCCTGTGACCCACCTCCCGCCCACCTGTCAAGTCTCAGCTTCAGGAAACTGGCCTCTTCCTCTCCCTCCCCCATCCAGGCCCATCCAGCTGGCCCCGTCCCTCCCACTGTCACAGGCAAGCATCCTGCACCCTGAAGCCTGCCCACCCCACATCTGTCTCCCCTGCGCCGCTGCCCCAATGATGGGAGAGCCTGTAGGGCAGGGGCCTGCTGGTCTATTTATCTGTACATTCCTGGCACCCAGTCTGGAAGGTGCTCAGTGGCTGTGAGGTGAATGACCATATGCGCCAATGCCCAGAACACTTAGGATGGGCAGTTAGGACCACAGTCTTTTGACGGTTCCCCCCAGGGCATCCTCAGCAGATGCGCATCCTCGTCCTGGGGAGCATCCGTCCCCCTCTGGGGGTGGGGCCGGGCAGGCACTGATGGAGACCTTCCAGGCAGCGAGAAAGGAGTGCCCTCCGTCCCTTGGCTTGGCCGTGCACAGGCCCTGGTGCTGGCCCCTGTTGCTGGAGAGCAACTGGAGGCAGGGATGGAGCTGGCTCCCGGGCATCCCAGAGCCTGCTGGGCCTGGCATGAGGGGCACCAGGTAGGTGACTGCTGAGTGGCCCTCGAGATCGGTGAGTGAGCTCTCACCTGGACTGCTAGGTCACAGTGGGGCCACGCCCACCTGGAGGCGGAACTCAGAGCTAGAGACGTCAGCCCCGCTGTACTTCTTATGGGGCTGGCCGCCCACCGAGCCGGCCCCACAGGGCCGCCCGGAGCTGACCGGGTCCGGCTGGTTCATGCTTGTAAACTGACTCGCGAGCAATGAACACCACAGAGAAGTGCACCTCTCTCCCTCTGCCCAGGCCGGGAGCGGCCGGCTGGCCGGGAGAGCTCTCTCTACGGGGACCGAGCGCCCGGGGAAAGCCGTCCGTGCCCGCCCGGCCACTTGCTGCCCGGCGCCACCCAGGCCCGGGGCTTATTCTCACCTCTCTGGTGAGGCAGAGGAGGCTTTGGGGGCGGGGTGGGGCTGGAACAAGGGACAAGCAGGGCATGACCAGGGCCTGGATCCTGTCCCAGGACACAGAGGGGCAGGCCCAGAGCCGCACCAGCCCAGGCCGCAGCGCTAAGAGGGTAGCTCTTGGGCTGCCGGCCTCTGCCCCAAATGTTCCCAAAGCATCTGTGAAAATGGGTCCAGGAAGCCAACTCCGGCTGCCCGGCCACCAGCACCCAGAGTCCAGAGGGCCTCCCGCTGCTGGGCCTGTGGCCGGCGATCATCACAGGCTGGCCTCTGGGCTGAGGGCAGAGGTTGTTGCTGCTGTCCAGCCTGGACGGAGCGGGCTCCCGGCAGCCCCAGGGCCAGCTGACAGCGGGTCCAGAATCCAGGAGCTGGCGCCGGCCACCCTGACCTGGTTAGGGGAGGACCCTGGGCATGTGGCCCTCCTCCATGGAGCCCTCCTGCCCTGACCCAGGGCCACCTTTCCCCAGGTCTCCATGCCATGCCAGGTGTAGTAGGAGGGTCCCCGTGGCTCTCCGACATGACGTCCACGTGTGTCCACCTGTTCCTGCCTCTACCAGGAGCAGCTGGGGACACAACTTGTGACTCGGCCACCTTGGCAGCCCAGGCCGAGAACGGGGCTTGGCACAACCAGACCTCAAGGAAGTTCTGCTGAATGAATGAATCATGAATGAATGGATGCAGGAAAAGGTGGCGGGGGTGGGCTTCCAAACCCACTGAAATTGATTGCTAAAGAAAGGGGGGGAATTTCCCTCTGTTTGGTTCTTTCAGAACAGGCTTAGCAAGGGTCCACTGAATTGGGTTGGGTCCCACCCACTCTGAGGGGGCCGGTATGAGGAGGGTCCCCTCCGCCAGTCCGTACCCTGTCACGTCTTCTAGGTTCATCAAAGTTCACAAGGTGGATTTCTGTCCAGCCCCACCAGGAATTCCCAAACCCTGAGCACCCGCAGTGTCTGCTGGGTCTGGGGACAGGCTGACACCTGGCTTTCAGCTCGGGTTTGCTGCTCTGGACCTGCCCACACCACACAGCCAAGGGCGAGGGGGCTCCCCTGGCTCCCGCAGTAAATGTATTACTGAAGGACTCAGAGGACAGAACCCACGTCAACAGTAAAGAGCAAAGTACCCCCAGTAGCAGACTCCGCCCCTTTCCCGGGGCAGGGTTCCTCTGGGCACCAGTCCCTCCTGGTAAACGCAGCTACCGGAGAGTCTCAGGGGGCCACTGAGGCCCCCAGGTTGGCCCTCCCCCCACACTCTTCCCGGGAGCCCTGCCTGAATCTCCAGCCTCCGTTCCTCTCAGCCACCCCTGGGGACCCAGTTCATCTCAGGGTCTTCACCTGAAACTGCGGGTGGCACAGCAACCCCCCCGCCCCGCAAAGGGATTCTGAGCATCGCATAGGCTTGGCTCTTGGGGCTGGGGGCTCCCTGGCTCCTGTAGTGCCTGAGGGAGCAGAGCTGGCTGAGACGCGTCTTTTCCGGGGGCCTGTGGTCCCCCGGGCTGTATTTACCCCAAGAGTCACCTCCTTCCTTCATTTGACAAACACTTGAGTGTGTCACATGCCAGGACTTGAGCCAGGAGCCAGGAATTCAGGACAGAGAGACAGGTGCCTTGCCCCCAGGCTCCGAGGGAAGGGGCAGCTGGGGTGTGAGCTGAGGACGTAGGGCAGTGGGAGGATTCAGCAAAGTCCTCGGGGCTGACATTCTAGATGAGTCTTAAAAGACCCAGAGAAGGAGTTGGCCAGGAGGCATGGTCACAAGAGGGCATTGCTGAGGGACGGGACAGGTTTGGAAGATGCTGGGGAGAAAGGGTGGGCAAGGTGCTGGGCAGAGGTGCACCAGCGTGGGGGCAGCGGGACTCCTCCCCTGCTCACTGCACTGCCACCCCAGCCCAAAGGAACATGCCTTGTTCCTGCCTCAGGGCCTTTGCACAAGCCTCTACCGTGCCTGGAACCCTCTACCTCTTCCTGTCTTCAGGGCTGGCACCGTCTCATCTTCCAAGTCTAGCTCCAGCTCAGTCCTCTGGAGGCCACCCCCACCCTCACCATCCCAGGTCAAGTTGGTCCTTCCCTGCTGTTCCACCTGGCCAGCTGTTGTGACATTATTTGCCTGTTTAGGCATTGATTTCTTTCTCTCTCTGGAAAGCCAGCCCCAGGAGGGCCAGGTACACGCCTGCCTCCTTCCTCATGTTGCACCTCCTGCCTGGCACCCAGCAGGGCCTCTGAGGGGTGAGGAACTTGGCCAGGCCATTGCCTTCACTTCTGGAAGGTGATCTGTGTCACACTCGATAGGATGTCTTTGTTTAGGGAGGGCATGAGCCACACCCAAAAGTCCTGGGGTGGGGCTGGCTATGCCACACCAACTGTGTGATTTGGGTGGTCTTGGCTCATGCCACCCAGAGTGGAATCAACCACATGGCAACCAACCAACCAACCCACCAACCCATCAACCAACCCATCAACAGAGCCCCCGTAAGATCTCTGGACGTGGACCTTCCCTGATTGGCAACACTCAGGGCATGCTGTCACCCACTGATGCTGGGAGGTGCCGAGTCCTGACTCCGCCGGGAGGGGACAGTGGCACTGTGTGTTTGGACCCTCCAGGACCCTGCCCCATGCTGGGCAGATTTCACTCTGCATCCTGCCCCCTAATAAACCATAATCGTGAATATGATAGTTTTCAGTGACCTCTGTGAGTCCTTCTCGCTCACTGTTGAACTGAGGGCAGTTGTGGGGACCCCTGGAACTGGCAGTTGGTGTCAGAATTGTGAACAGTCTTGGGGACTGTTTGGAGACCCACTAACTTTGCACTTGTCCCCAAACTTTGGCCACTTTCAGAGCCTGGCCAGTGCAGGGCGACCCTGGGACGCCCCCACCGCACCCAGCAGTGTCTCCCAGCCATTCTGCCTTGACACCCACAGGCCTCAGGCCACCCGCCCCCAGAGGGACAGGCCAGTGAGTCTGCAGACGTTGTCAGCGTCCCCTTAACTGTGTGAAGACTGCACAGAAGGCGTGAAAGGTGTCAGAGGAGACAGTGAATTCCACCAACCTTGTTTTTGTCTTCAGTCCTCGCTGCTTGACGACACGCCGGGTGCCAGATGGAGGAGCCTGTGGACGGAGTTGCAAAAGGGAAGTGTTAATGTCATGTCCCCGGATGCTGGGGTCGCATGGAGCGTCAGGAGGAGGGAGCTGGTGGTCCACACATGGATTCTCATCACCTGTGCTCCTCTGGGCCAGAGTCACAGGGTCAGTGCTGAGCCTGGGGTGTGTAGATCACTGGGGCTCATAGCCCCACTGGGGGGACATGAGAGGGATGGGAAACTCACCACCGTGGGCTACCTGCTCCCCGGGGGCCTGCACCCGGCCCTCGGAACCCTAGCCCCAGGCAGCCAGACATGGGTGGCTGCTGGTTCACAGGCTGGGGACAGAAAGGGGCTGCCAGGTGACTTCCAACCCGCTCCTCTCCATGCGAGGTGAGCAGAGGCCAGGCCCAGCCGCAGGCACCCTGGGGACCGGAGCCAGGTGGGAACTCACCTGGGGCATGAGGGCTTGGGGAAGGGCTCTCGGCTGGGAGGCGGGAGGGAGCCCCTCACATGGGAACCGTAGTGTGGGGTGAAGAGCAGGGCCTCGGGTGGGGGCCCCACCCCTCACTCATTCACGGGGTCTCTGAGCTGACCCACTGGGGCCTCAGTCTCTTTACTTGCCAGCCCCACCCAGTGTCCCACATCGACAGCCACCGCCATCAAGGTAACAGGTCTCGAAGGGCCCCAAGGCCCTGCGCTAATTCAAACTCGACCTTCCCCAGTCTCAGATTTTCCCCACCTGCACGCAGGGCCAATGACACCCTACCTCGCAGGCCATTGGGAGAATTTAATGGAATTAAATAGGGGTAATGACTTGGGGGCCATGCCCCTGAAGGTGGCGGTGTGTCCAACACCCTCCAATATCCCCTCAACAAACCACATGGGCCTGGCACATAGTAGGGCCTCAACAGCTGGGTGGAAGGAAGGAGCGCCTGTCCGTTTCTGCTGGCAAAGCCTCCAGGTCGCTCAACACCTGGGAAGGGAACTCCTCACTGCTCCTCCCTGTTAAACACCTGCCCTGACTGGCAGCCGCCTGGCAGACCTGGATTGATCGCTCTGTGTGTGTGTGTGTGTGTGCGTGCGTGTGTAACTTTTGTTTTTTCAAAACAATTGTTTGCAATTACAAAGACAATTGATGATGTTTATTAAAATTTCAACAAGCCTAAAAATGAATAAATAAGAAAATTAAAATCATCCGTCGCGGGGAGGGCAGAGCTCAGTGGCAGAGCGTGTGCTTAGCATGCTGAGGCCCTGGGTTCAATCCCCGGTTCCTCCGTTAAAAAGTAGTAATAATAATAAAGAAAGAAGCCTAATTAACTCCCTCCCCCAAAGCAAAACAAAAAATAAATAAATAAAATATTTTTGAAAGTTGAAAACTATATCACCCGCAGCCTCGCACCCCCAGGGCTGGCGGCCTCCCGGTGCACACGTGCGTATCAGACAGAACACACGCGCACAGTGTCCTATCCTGCGGTTTTTGCTTAAAAATGTCTTGATATTTTTCCACATAATTAAAAACGGTCACTTGAAAGGCTGTGTGACATTCAGTCGTGCGGACGGCTGAGAATTCCCGTCTCTGCTCCTGGCCTGTCAGCTCCGTTGTATTTCTAAACAAAGTTGTGGAGACGCCACTGCACACAGGCTCAGACGCCCCCCTCTTGTTTACTGGAGGGCCTCCTAGAAGTGGAGTCTGGCCCCAGAGGGTGCGGGCATTTTTAAGGCTCTGAGGCAAAGGGTTAATTTCTCAATTTTTGCCCACCAGCCAGGTGAGAGGCCCATTTCCTCCAGTGCTCACAACGCAGGGACGTGTCATTTCTTCATCAACCCACTGGAAAAAGTAGCATCTAATCGGGATTTTGATCGGGGTCCCCTGACAGTGAGAGAGTCCACCACACTCGCCTATGTTTGCTGAGCCTACAGAGGAAGTTGTGTCCAGGGCTGGGTGGTGGCACTGGTACTGGGGCTGGGGGTGGGGATGGCCTGCCTCATCTCCCTTGGAGGGCCCCAGCATCCAGGTGGACCAGGCAGCGGGTCCCAGGGTGGTCTCATGCAGAGCGGGGCCAGAGCCCCAAAGAGACCCCTCACCGTGGACCCCTGTGCTCCGTGGAGCGGAGCTTAAAAATCGCCGCCTGGGGCCGAACCCTCATGGTCCAACTGGGACATACGAGGCTGGGAGGGGATGGGTCTGGCTTCACCATCCCACGGAAAGTCACGGCAGGTTCCGCTTTGCAAACAGGCTTCCAGCCTCAGCCCAGAGCCATGAAGAGTGTCTTTGTTTCTGAGACTGGGTCCCCCTTGATGGTGAGCCCCCGTCCCCGAGCTGCTGTCCCAACGTCACAGTGCTTGGCATCAGAACGTCCTGGTACAGAAAGCACTATTGATGGTGGGGGTGGGCACCTCGGGCAGGGGGACCCCTCCCCAACTGGGCAACCCAGTGCAGCTGGGAGGGGCGCAAAGAACCCCTTTCACAAGCTCTGGAGACTGAGGAACAAGAGGGGACACTGGGGACCAGGCTATCCTGGCTGACATCACCACATGAGGTTCAGTCTCAGAAAAGGAGGCCTGTGTGACACTCGGCCCAGAAGGACGCTGGGTGAGGTCACCCAATGGCTGGTCTATGGGGCAGTGTGCGGCCCTGCTCAGCCTGCCTCGGGGTCACCACAGGAGACAGAGACGTCATTGCAAAGACTCCGTGACGACAGAGAGGGGGGGGTCTCAGCCTCTAACCCATCCTGCCTTGGGCCCCTCGGAGGTCTCCAATCTGCTGGGCCCAGTCTCTGCAAGAATCCTGCTGAGTGGTTTAGAGGGAACCTCCCTACTCCATCTCTGACCGCACCTCGTTCCCCACCTCTGACTTCGCTGTCCAGGCCCTGGCCGGCCTTCAGCAGGAGTCCTGTGAGGCCAGCTCAGCAAGAATCCCTGATGCTCCCTGTCTCTTTTCGCAATTTTCCATCCACTCACCCCACCCCGATCCCAACCTGGCTCCCTGGCCACGGATGTCCAGCCATCCTGGTCAAATTCGGAGTCGGCCGGCTCCCCCTCCTCTGCTGCCTCAACAAGTGTGGAACCAGCTTCCTTCACCGCGGCGGCTCTGGAATGAGGGCGCCGCGGGGGGTGGGGAGGGCCATCAGAGTGACACACTAAGTGTAGTCAGAGGAGAGCGGCTGTGTCCCCCCAAGCCCCAGGGAAGAAACATGTTGTCAGCGAACAGACGGGGCTGCGAGCTCCGGGCTGAGCGTTGATGTAATTTTTAAACCAGTAGCAATGAGCAGAGAGGGGTCACTGCAGAAGGAAGGAGGGCAGCTGGCTGCCCCGCTGTTTCTCCGGGTCTGGTGGCCACAGGACGCTTCGCCTTCGCTCTATTGTTACTGTTTTTATTTTTAATGGTGACCGGGTTGGGGAATTTCCCACGAAATGCACGAACTGCTTAGAAGGTTGGCTGTTTTTGTCTCCAAAACTCCTACTGACGCTCTGGTGACTCCCCTGGCCAGGAAGGAAGCCTCGGGAGTGACTGGTCTCCACGTCCCTTCATCAACCTGGACCCTGGGCTGAGGGGCTTTTGGGACAGGCCTGAAGCCCCCACAGGCACCATGGACTACCTGTTGTTTCACATTTTGCCATGAGGCCCCACATTTCCAGCACTCCTGGGTCCTGCTCTTGAATTCAACCTTTTTAAAAATCTCGTCCATCTCAGGTTCACGGACATCACCTGGACGGATGATGCAAAAGGAGGCAGGCTGTCTGTCAGTCTGCCTAGACCGGCGGGTGCTGGGTGGTGGGGACCCCCGCCCAGCCAGGCCCCCCACCCCCGCTGAGGGGCAGGACTTCCTAACCACCCGGGAAGCTTGTGTGACCCACGCGTTCACACCCAGCACAGGGCGCGTCACCCGAGGGTCCGGAGCAGCACACATCTTCTCACCTTGCAGGTACATCTCCTCGCCTTCCGAAAACATCCGGCCGCACCGGACGCATAGTGCACACAGAGGGTGGTAGTGCTTCTCCCCCGCCTGGACGAAGCACAGAGAGGCAGCGTTAGCACGGGGTGAGGGGCCCGAACAGCAGCACTCAGCTCGGGGCACAGCGCGCCCACCCCAGGTGCTCAGCTGAGGCTGGAATGCGGGTGGTGTAGCAGGGAGCCCATATTGTGGGGCAGGATGGGACGGGACCAGTGGTGACCCAGGCTGTCCAGGGTGCTGAGGGCCAGCCTAGGAGCAGAGACCCGTCCCCAGGAGAGCAGCTGTGTCACCTGCTCCTCCCAGCTCAGCGGCAGAGGGGTCTGCCCAGCATGAGGCAGAGAGGGGCCAGGTCCCACGCATCTCTGTACGTGGGGGGTTGAGGAGGTGAGGGTGGGGTGAAAATGATGACTCATTTTCTTTTTGTATCCTTGTATTGCTCAGTTTTCTCAATTAGCGTTTACTGTTTTACAGTTCTTAAAACCCATTAAACCAGATTAAAATATTAACACTGAAATAACCAAAGCAATTTACATTGGCAAGTTTGGCTTCTTTCAACAAGGTACAAAAACCACCCCAATACACTGTATCGAGCAGGACTGTACTGGGACCTGGGAGCGGGCGGGGCTGCATCCTGCTGCTGCCTGCGATGCTCAGCCCCGACTCGCTCTGCCCTAAAACGGGGAGGTTAATCACCACTCTCTGAATCTGACTTAGTAATTCTCACTCCCCTGAGTCAGTAAGTACCGCAGTGAAATTCATCACAAGCCTCTCGTTTTCCCTCCCCTGGCCCCCGGTGCCTCTCCTGCAAACCAGGCCCCAGGTGACCCCTGCGTGTCGGGAGGAAGAACCCAGAGCAGGCTCCTCTCCTGCGTGGGGCCCGATGTGCCAGTGGACGTGGCCCAGCGAGGTCTTCAGGCAAAGGGATGCTTCTGGGAAGTGTCAGGAGGCTGCATCCTCAGTCCCGTCTGCTCTGCAGCCTCTGGGCCTTTGCACCTGCCGTCCCTTCCACCTGGAGTGCTCTTCCCACTCTCCCACCTGGGCCACCTGGACCTTCCTATCTCACGGCCATGCCACCTCCTCTTGGAAGTGCCCCCTGAACATATCCCTGTTCTGGGCTCCCAGAGCCCCATTTCAGAGTTTGACAATCATTTCAGATAATTCTTCCTTGCTAGACAGTGAGCCTCCGAGGGCAGGACCTGGCAGGGGGTCACTTCAGGAACCCCTAGATGCAGGATTGATCTGGGTAGCGCATCACACCACAGCACTGGGCCCCGGGGCAGTGAGAGGGACACACCATTTCAGTGATGTCCAGCATCCAAATGCC